AGTAAGGTCTAGACCTTACTGTTATCAATATTATTACATAGGGAAAACCCAACAAATCCCCCTTGAGCAAGCACTTGGTGACAGTGGGGAGGAAAAACTCCCTTTAACGGAAGAAACCTCCGACAGACCCCGGCTCTTGGTGGGCGGCCTCCTGCCTCGACCGGTTGGGGTGAGTGGCTCGAGGGGGGGCAAAAGAAGAAAAGCAACAAGACACAACAAACAATCAAACACTGATCAGGTCGATGTGGGTGGTGACTGCTCGTCAGGGATGTAGAGCTCCAGGGCCAGGGCAACCTGCAGAAAGGTACAAAGAGAGAGAGGACACACTACGGGAGAGAGGAGACACTACGGGAGAGAGAGAGGACACACTACGGGAGAGAGGAGACACTATGGGAGGGAGAGAGGACACACTACGGGAGAGAGGAGACACAAAGTTAGTAATGTGTAATGCTGACATATAGAAGCATAGAGAGGAGACAGGAATCGTGGCCCTCCGTTAACTATTAACGAAACTACACAGAAATATTAAACACTAGGTAAATTTCAGTGCAGGCGGTAACATTTTAACTATAACTCATTCTACAGAATTAATTTGTAAAAATAATCTTGTATGACTGTTTGGTCAAGGAGGAGCAATGTAGGGATCTTTTGAAAAGTAAGATGCAGTCATCAAACTTTCATATTTACAGTGTAAACTACACCGATCAGCCATAACATTATGACCACCGGCCTAATACAGTTTACACAGGAGTCCCTGTGGCAGTCGGTCGGCACTCGTGTCACTCTGCAGCTCACTGTGCATCTTCTGTGAATCCATTTGCTTCCACAGTTCTACTGACAGGAAGAGCACAGATGTGTCTACAATTCAGTGAAAAACTTAAGTAAAAGGAGTGAAAACTGGTCATGAGGACGAGTTAGAGAGAATTATTTAGACCAGTCCAACAGCCTCACCGCTCTAGGTGTGATATCACCACTACAGCCCCCGACTCTTTCTCTTCATACAGACCAATGGACAGTGTTTCCTATAATTATAATGTTATGCCTGATCAATAAATAAAGTCAGTTGTGTGCCAGAACAAGATACTATCATGTAAAAGCCATATTTCTGAATTTTAAGGTAAGAATATATAGCATTTAGGGCTAATAATAAATTTTATTTTGTTAATTGTTTTTTGGGGTATTTTAATGCCTTTATTGTACAGTGAGTCAAAAAGAGGCAAACGGGAAACAGGAGGCAAGTTGCACTGAACACTGTGTACACTATGTATATGGTGCTCCACCGAAGCCACTCAGCTCTCAGAGAGCTCCACTTTAATTGATGTATGCCTCCGCCAACCTGTCAAATTCACGAGAATGGGACAGAAGTGAGGTCACCGACTTTGGACTTTCACCACCCAAATCTAATCAGTTCATCCCTGAATGCAAGTGGACACTTGAGCAAAATTTCAAGAAGTTCCTGAGATATCAATTTCACAAGAACGTACAACCTGAAAACATAATGCCTCCAGGTGCGGTTATCACCCAGAGCCTTATTTGTACCAAGACTAAGAAATCTATAGGCTAATAACACATGGCTTTAACAGCACAAATTGAATGTGCCGACCTCGGGTACGTGGATAAACCTACCAAAGTGACTGGAGGAGTCAAACGGCAAAGCACTGACCAACACTTTGGGACACAGCCGACACTGGTTTGATTCCTGTCACATATTTCTAAAGTTTCACTTCTGATTTTTGTTACAGTGAAATATGAGAGGATCAAATTTTTGGTTCTGGCCCTGAAGAACTCGGTGGAGGTCTATGCCTGGGCACCCAAGCCCTATCACAAGTTCATGGCCTTCAAGGTGAGTCGGTCTACAAGATGAGCTTGTTAGCTGATGTAGGTGGGGATTCGTTGTTTGTATTAAGAACAACAAATACATGCATGGCGTTTGTAAAGTCAGTCTGGGTAAGTGGATATTTATTGTGGTGTATTTACATTTAATTATATGCATTTTTGTGTAATACTATCTGAAATGTAAGCTGATGCAAAGGTATGAGGTTTACTTTAACCACCAATTCACTGTGAAGTGTTTGATTTGATTCTGATCATCTCATCTGCTGCCCAAGCTCCTCCTGGTTGACTGAGGGGAACAAACACTTGTTTTTCTGACCTGTGTCCTTCAGTCCTTCGGTGACCTGGTGCACAAGCCCCTGCTGGTTGACCTGACTGTGGAGGAAGGTCAGAGGCTAAAGGTCATCTACGGCTCATGCTCAGGCTTCCATGCTGTGGATGTCGACTCTGGCGCTGTCTACGACATCTACCTGCCTACACATGTAATAACACACGTACTGTATTATTTTAGATACGTGTGTTTTATTTCTGTGCACAGTTATGGTGAGAATTAGTTTTTCAGACTGAAAAGTTAGTTTTCACTGTTGCTGAGTTACTGACCTACTGTTTTCCAGTAACTAATCATAAATGTAATGGTTTTTAAAGTTGTCTTAAACGTACATGTTGCTCAGCTGCTACAGATAATCAAACTGCAGAGCTAAAATTTATAGTTCAATAATTTCCCCAGATTGTCAGATGTAAATAAATGTGAGGTAAAAAGGTTTGAAAGAAAGCCATCAGCGGACACCGTGTTGCTGCTGTGTGTCCCTGCAGATCCAGACCAGTATCCAGTCTCACGCCATCATCATCCTGCCCAACACTGATGGCATCGAGTTGCTGGTGTGCTACGAGGATGAGGGTGTTTACGTTAACACCTACGGACGTATCACCAAGGATGTGGTGCTGCAGTGGGGGGAGATGCCCACCTCAGTGGGTGAGTCACAGGGACAAAAAGCCACACAAACACACCTTAATCTTTTTCTTCCTACATGTATTTAGATATTAACTTTAAAGGTTTGGGATATTTGGAGTTGGTCTTATTAATATGTCTGTGTGCATGTGGGAATAAGCCTCAGTCATTTCAGCTTCTCCTACTCTCCACACAGTTTCATTTGAGCCTGTGATGAACCTTGGAGTGAGTTCAAGCACAGAACAAGGGCTGTGCATGTTAGCCCTCGTTTCTTAGTGCAGCCACCTTCCAGGGGTTAATGGAGAGTGTGAGAAGGCACCGCTACTGTGACAAGCCATTTAAACATTTATTTGATATCAGATGTCTTTTTCTTCCACTAGTTCAGTCTTTGTCAATACTAGTTGGACAGAAACTCTTATTAGTTGCTTGTTTTCGGTAACTAGTGGCATGTTTGTTTGAACCTAAGCCGGACTAGTAATGCAGGGCGTCATGCTAGTAGCTCCAAAGTCCCAGCTGGTCAGCTTTTTGATGTGCTAGTGACCCTCTGGACCAAACTATTAACGTTGAAAGTCCTGCTAGTTAACAAATGACCTACAATTTTCTGCACTAGTTGAGTAGTGAGAGCGATTTGTTGCTCATTTATTAATCATTAGCTAACACATGCTTATATGTGCACATGGCTGTGGTGTTTCTACTTCACACATGCTTATATGTGCACATGGCTGTGGTTTCTACTTCACAAACAACTTGCAATGACTGTTTGTCCACAGAGGAAACGCACACACACATCTGAAAAGCCAATCTACATGGGTGGTATACGTTCTGTATCATCACAATCGGTTCAGAAACATCTTAAAACCTTTCACCTGTCTTTAAATGTACACATTTTCAGTATATCAGTTCACTTACAGCATGTGCCTCTCTGCAGCCTACATTCGCTCCAACCAGATCATGGGCTGGGGAGAGAAGGCCATCGAGATCCGCTCGGTGGATACCGGCCATCTGGATGGCGTTTTCATGCACAAGAGAGCCCAAAGACTCAAGTTTCTCTGTGAAAGAAATGACAAGGTGAGACGTCCATGCAGACGATCAACAACACATCCTGATCTAATAGAAGGAGGCTTTCAGTCATGTTAGATTTTTCAGCCAGTTGTTCCCCTAGATAGAAATGTACCACAGTGAACACACACATGAGCCTGTTGTTATATCCTCTTGCCATTCAAGTGAACTAGGCTATAGATTTTCAGCCAGTGCTGCAGCCTCCTGCCCAGAGGTCATCATAAAACACTTTTCATTTGTTCAGCCTCTACTGGCCCGGATCTGTCGGCTGAGGGAATAACTTCAAACTGCTCTAGTTTCACTTCTGCTCTCAGCTTTATTTGGACAAACAAGAAGTAAAGGAACATGGATGAAATTTGTTCTCCTCTCTGTGCTTGTGTAGGAAATGACTGGAGCCTTTGGGGACTGTAACATGTAGGAAAGACTTTTCTTCAAATTGTTTTTAAGGATGCCTCTTCCAAGTAGCTGACTAATCAATACATTAGGTTTGTCCAGACCAGACATTTTCAGTCCATTTGATTAGTTTTTTTATATATAAAGATGAAGTGGCAATTTAAAAGTCAGTCTCTGAATCCAAACAAAGATGGGAAATGACACATTTCTGTTTAATTTGCATTACAAAGAAATAAGAAAAAACAAGGCTGGAATTCATCAGATCTGTTTTCAGAACTGGGATCAAGATACGTAGCAAAAAAAAGGTTTCATCAGAATGTCATTAATATTTAGACAAATTTAAACCTGAGAGTGAGTGAATGGGATCATACCTATTAGTAAGTTCTCCTACAGTACGTGTGTGTCTCCTCTTCAGGTATTCTTTGCCTCTGTTCGGTCCGGAGGATCCAGCCAAGTCTACTTTATGACTCTGGGCCGAAGCAACCTGCTCAGCTGGTAGAGATCCACACCCTGCCCTCTTCCTCTTCCTTCTCCTCATAGTCCTCCATCTCAGAACCCACCGTTGATGTCTTGTCGGCCCTTGGACATCCTAAAGAAAACAAAAACAACCAGTCAACCCCTGTGGAGCAGTCGACAACAATGGCTTCTTATTCCCTCTGGAGCTGCAGACTTGCTGCATCTGAGCTCTGGGCCTGCCTGCGACACAGTGACCACCGCTCACACAGTCGTCACGCCCTGACATACTGTACCTGAGGTGACGGCTTGCGTACAAAATGAAATCAGTGATTAATTAATATATGAAAGGAAGTAGAAATAAATTAAATGTGAATTCAAGAAAGGGGAGCAAACAACTTTTGTTTCCCTCTCCATTTTCTTGGTGCTCGTCAGACTGTGATGGGATAGATTTTGTACCGCTGCATCATTTCTGTGCTCCTGGGCCTGGTCACTGAGCTTGAAGTCCTCTAACTACGAGTACTGCTACCACTATTGTTCCTACTGCTACCCTCTGCAGGTGTTTCTCTTGTCAGAGAGTTCCTCCTCTCTGCCATGACCCTGCTCTCCATTTGTTCTTCTGAGAGTTCATGGGGCTGGTGGGGTCGGAGTCCGTTACAGTAAGTGTGTGTTAATGTACTTCTGTTTGGTCCGGTTACTGCAGCCGTGCTGGTTTAAGCTCAAGACTTTCAGCCAGGGATTAAAAAATAACAATCTGTTGGAACGAGCAGGCTGGAGAGGCCTAATATTTGTGGTTGTACCGTTACGTCTGATGGAGAGGATTCAGCAGAAGGGTGTGTGTTATTGTTGACATATTATTTGGACAGTGAGAAAAAGCAATGTTGAAGCAGATGGCTTTCAGAATAGTATTTTGAATTACTGCTATTATTCCTTGAAGATAAGTGTAACTATGTGGAGTTGATATGTCTTCTACCTTGTTTAAGATTTACGCACATTCACCCACAGTGCGCAGTTTGCTTGCTTTTACTCTGAACCCATGAAGTGTGAGGTGTGTTTGTCTAAAGAGAAAGTTGGTTCTGAAAAATAAAGTAAACCAGCGTGTCTACTACTACTACTATACTTTTGGCTGTTCCGTTAGGAGTTGCCACAGCGAATCTGATTTGCATGAGTAAATTCGGCACGTTTCTTTTTTTTTTTACGCCGGATGCCTAAAAAACCCTTTCTTTTTGTCTGGGACTGGAAAAAAAGCCACTGGCGTGAAATCCCTGTGAAAGTAACTAAACGTGTGTATATACAACAAAAGTACATTTAAGCTTCTGGATAGTGTCAGTTGTCTCAATGATCAAGCATGATGACCTAAACTCGGGTAGGGCAGCCACGACTCGAGCAACTTGCACTGCTGTGAACAATAAAATACGAACTTTGGGTCATGTCTGAAAGGGCAAGATCCTGGATACAGGCGGCCGAAATGAGCTTCCTCCGCAGGGCGACCGGGCGCACCCTTAGAGATAGGGTGAGGAGCGCGGTCACCCGGGAGGAGCTCAGAGTAGAACCGCTGCTCCTCCACATCGAGAGGAGCCAGCTGAGGTGGCTCGGGCATCTGTTTCGGATGCCTCCTGGGCGCCTTCCTAGGAAGGTGTTCCAGGCATGTCCCACCAGGAGGAGGCCCCGGGGAAGACCCAGGACACACTGGAGGGACTATGTCTCTTGGCTGGCCTGGGAACGCCTTGGCATTCCCCCGGAGGAGCTGGAGGAAGTGTCTGGAGAGAGGGAAGTCTGGGCATCTTTGCTTAGACTGCTGCCCCTGCGACCCGGTCCCGGATAAGCGGAGGAAAATGGATGCATGGATGAAAAAAGAAAATGATGCGACAGAGTAGTGCACATGCAGCCAGAGTTCACTGTTATTGATAAATTGGACATTTTTGGTAGAGAGGTAAACGCAGGCTTGGGTTCAGTAGCAGGACTTTTTCTCGGGAAGCCAGTTTTCTATTTTTCATTTTGTTATTTCAAATCATTTCATTTTTAGTTGTATGAATGCAATGCACTAAGTGTCAAGAATGTAGAAAGACTTATTACTGTGTGGTGGTCCGAGGCATGAGATGATGTTTTTGCTTTGTATCTTGTCACAAATGGTCGATCGTAGATATTCAATTTTGATTTAAGACGACTGGGAGCTGCAGCAGCGGAGCCTCTTACGTCAGGTGTAGATATTTTCCGGGGTAAGGGAGAATTTTTTTTTTTTGCATCCTTTTCCAGAGCTGTGATATCTGCACCCAGGCAAATGCCTAGAGCGCATCAGAGCTGAGGAGGGTTCTCTGGCATCCTGCGAGTCCACTCACGTAGACCCTCCTCCGTCAATGAGGATGTCAACACAGACTATGGATTTCAGTGTTACTGTGATGAAGTGTCACAAAACAGGAAACATGGAGCAGAACCTTTTCCTCACTCGACTGTTGGTGAAGAAACTTGAGACTTTTTCAGGAAGGAGTTGTGTTCTCTGATTTGTGCTCCCCACTTCCTGCTCCACCTGTTATTTAAGTTGTCTGTATATGTGAAAGACTGCGACATCGCTCTCCTTCAGGCTGTCTGCACAGCTGGATTTTCCTCTGTTTCCACAATGAAAGACTGCACATTTCTCACTGAAAAAGACTGAAAGGAGAGTCTGGTTAGTGCTTTGACTTTGTCCAAACATGTCTTCATCAGGTCACAGCCCAGTTTATATACCTTGGGTGTGTTTTTCCCCTGATGATGACAATTACACACATGAAACGCTGACTGTCAATCACCCAGTAACAGTTTCTGACACAAATGTTTTTCCCCCCTCACGTGGAGAAGCTCTTTGGGCCCCAGTGCTGTGTTGTCTGAGGTCTCTGTGCAGTAGTGCCCAGTGTGTCTCTCTTTGCATCAAGGCCTTGATGAGAGGCTGCATTGGCTTCCTGAAAAAATTGTGGGTATTGTAGATATTCTAAAAAAAAGGACACGGTGCAAGTCTGTATCTGATGGGAAAACGCCGTCACTAGCTGACTCACATTGGAAGAAGTGCCAAGAGGTCAGCATTTAAAATAAATCTGTTGTTATGAAAACCACTACTGGGAAATCCTTTAAAAAAATCACTTGGAGCATTGTGTATTCTTAAGTTTTAGATTTAGTCAAGAAGTTTAAAGATAGTTTGTTGTTTCTGTAAGTCTACTTATGAGTAAATATGCGACTGCGGTGGTGTAATATTATGCTCATTTAGTTTGGAGACTGTGTTTACAGACGCTACACTAATGAGCATCACGGTATTTATGTTTAACATACACGTCTTGGTTCTTCTCTGTTTTTACTTTGAGCCCAGTTCTTACTTGATCCTTTCGTTTTATCTTCCCTACCCCAGTAAATAACCTACTTACAAACAATAAAGAACACGTGTTGTTCATTTCAGGTATTCACCTAGCGCTGCTTCAACGTGGAAACATTGCAGTAAAGTTCCCTGCAGGCTTGGACGTGCTGTTTTGCCATGCTACTCTAACTTATGTCCTCTCTGTGTATGACGGGAAGTCCTGTATTTTCCTGAAGGTTTTTTTCTTTGAATAAACTTTAATTTTAAAACAAGAGTTTTTCCCTCTGTCTTTAACACTGTTCCCTGAATACACACGTAAACATGTTGTAACACAATGGCTAATGGAAACACATGACATGTCAGCAGCACATGTGTTGGTCTGTGTCAACAGGTTTTATTTTTAATGAGCGCTACCTCATATACCCATGGACATAAGATTTTAAAGATGCTTGCTTTTCGCATCGATAAAAATGACCGAACATTTAAATAGTTCAGTCAAGTTGAATTAGATGTTGAAGAGTTGCTTCAGGGAGAATAGTATGAGTGTGTTGTAAGCTTTGACTTCTCTCTGTGGTGTCTGAGCTCACAGTGAGTGGGTGTCTGAACCCTGCTGGAAAGAGAAGTGCAAATGTCATTTTCTGAGGATGTCTTAAGTATGGGGTCATTTATTGGCATGACAAGTTTGTTGACTGGAAGATGGGATTTTTATCATCTGTTTGGCACAATTCACACATTTTGGTGCAGCTGTGTTCAAGTGTTCATTTCTATTATGTCTCTGTAACAAGGCCTAAAGCCACTTTGCCCACCTGTACATTTACAGAAGGCGCTTTAGGCTAAAATGAAAAGTTTTGACTCCTATTCATAATTCATATGTTTTATAATGAGTTGTTTTTTTTACATCTTTAGACAAATAATGAACTATAAGATTTGTTCTCAGTGCTTGTTGTAATGTGGACATGTGGCAAATTTCAACCACTGGTTATTTTTTGTTTTTAATTTGATGTAAATACATAGAGAAGTGGTTTCCTGTGTCTATACTATGCGACCTAAATATTTTTAGAGAGTTTAGAGAGAAACTTTAAATTCCTAGGAACCCACATCTCCAATAAGCTGTCCTGGTCTTTTAAAACCAACACTGCTGTCAACAAGGCAGCATTTGCACTTTTTGAGAGTCCTTAAGACAAACGATCCAACTCTAAAGTTAATATACTGCATCACAGTATGGTATGTAGGCTGCTCAGGAGAAAGCAGAAAAAGCTCTACAAAGGCTTATAAATGCAATGAAAATCACTGGCTGTCCACTGCTCTCCCTGGAAGACACGGCAAATACTCGCTATTTTAACAGAGCAAAGAACATTGTAAAGACCAGGCGTGTGCAGAATGGCACATTTCACATTCTGGTATAACATATTATTGTACATCACATTTACTGTTGCAGCTGGTAAGGGGGGGGGGGCTAGTTTTAACTAGCTTCTAGTTAAAACTGTGGTTCGGTGGGTAGAGCAGTCATCTCCCAACCGGAGGGTTGGAGGTTTGAATCTCGGTGCCTCTGGTCCACATCTCAAAGTGTCCTTGACCAAAACACAAACTGTGCTCAGGTACACTACTAGGCTAAATGTACTTGGTTACTTTGCACCACTGCATATAACATCATCCCAGTTTCATTGTGTTTTACTGTACAATGACACAAAAGTCTTTCAGTTTGATTTATTTCTATAGGATCTCATCTTTAAAAAGATGAAGATGTTGTTCACCACAACATTTCATTTAAAATGCCACCACTGTAGGAATTCCACTTATTTTTACTTAATTCTTGCTATTACATTTTGCCTACGTCATCATGGACAACTTTCAGAGTTTTTTCCATTTACAGAAACGCACCACCTCAGTCCCACTGACCGATTCTTGAACAGAAATGGCTCAAGTGGAGCATACAGAGTAATACACTGCTGTTTTCAGTGCCTGGAAGGTGAATTCCTCATCAGAGGAAAACTGATCAGATCTGCTGAGTTCTCCATTGTGATTAGGTTATCAGACTATCATGATTTTGAGATCTGGAAGCTTCCCAAAACACGCAACAGGTTTTTTGGGCTAACTATTATTGAGGCTAGCTGCTTGAGGCTACATTAGCTGCTAGCATAATACGCCTGAATCTGCAAACATTGGTTGTGCTCCAAAACCTGACCGGCATTGTGCCATTTGAGCCAGACGGGCAGCTACAAAACAGGTTGTCAGTGAAATGCTCTTTCCTTACATATTTTTAATGAATATGAAGTACAGGCCTTAATTACATAAAGTGGATTCAGATTTGTTTATAAATTTGTAATTTCCTAATTGGAGTGCATGGACAATGAGCAAAGTCCTTCCTGTTTGCTACAGTGAAACATATGACAACAGACACATCAGATTACCTTGTGGCCTCATGAGATAATTGTCAGTCACATAATGGTTCTGATTGCAATCAATCACCATGGATTCAAACAGACAGAACAGCACTGTGACCGCTCACACAGGATCCAAGCATTAGCCTCCCAGATATGGAACTGTTTCCAGGACAACCTTGCATCACTGAGAGGTACTGGTATCATCTGTATGAGAATGTCTACACTGGAAAATGTCCAGTCACAATCAGTATATCAGCCAAGCTGAATAATGCACAAGAATGCGTAATGGTGGGTCGTGCTTTCTACTCAGAGCGATGACACAACAGCCAGCCACTCTGCTGTTACACAATTGTTTTTAATCATTTGTTTATACAAGACTTTTCATGTTTTTTTCTACAGCCGGCTTCACACACACACAAATCCAAGGAGGTTCACTGAAGCTTATGGGGAATGTCCTGTTTCACTAAAAGTACCATTAATACAATAACTTGCTGATTTCTTTGTTGAAACAATGAAAACCATATGACTACATTCTTTTAATGTAAAAGATGAACATTTAAAAACTCATTACATAAGATGAAGACCTGTTACTCTCTATGCACTAATTGGCTATTTTTGATACTTGCAATTATCCCACGTTTTTAAATAGTTATTTAAGTGTAGAGAAGTAATTTTCATTCATGGCTATTTGGTAAAATCTAAACTGCTACAGTTTTAGGAGACAAACTACAAGCACACTACTAGAAATTGCCACAGCTTGTCTTTCATGTGTTATTATACTTGACTTGTAAGGCTAAGCTTAAAAAACACCCGAATGTGCCTCCCTGGTGATCTTTAAAAACTTCAGAAGGTTGTTGAAAGTATTTCCAAAATACTCCTGGTAACATTTTTTTTTTTGCCTATTTCCAAACTTTTTTTCCTAATAAAATTTTTTTGTACGGAAGAGTATTAGGGCCACTGCATAATTTTTTTTTAAATTCTGACTTTATTCTCAGAATTCTGACTTTAAACTCAGAATTTTGACTTTAATCAGGATTCTGACTTTATTCTGAGAATTCTGACTTTAAACTGAGATTAAAGTCAGAATTCTGAGAATAAAGTCAGAATCCTGATTAAAGTCAGAATTCTGAGAATAAAGTCAAAATTTAAAAAAAATTTATGCAGTGGCCCTAATACTCTTCCGTATTTTTGTGTAACTATGTTTAACAAATGTTATCAGTTCTATTTTATTATCTTCATATTCTACTACTACTTTCAGTTGTTCATATGTTTACATTTAGTGTTTTTTTACGCCCTTCCCAACGCATCCCAAATTTGGATATATACAGTTTATGCACTAATGTGGGCAATTGAGAGTCTCCAGTCAACCTAAGCAGCATGTCTTTGGACTGTGGGATGAAGCCGCACAGTGATGGGCGGTCAGGGGAGGCAGGTGAGGCAGAGCCTCCCCTGTCAATCTGGACAAGAAAAAACTAAAAGTTAACCATAAAATATAATAAATGTTAATATTTGTCGGCTGGTGTGTGTTGTAGGCCCTTTTGCCGTTCTAATCCAATGTTGAATGAATTTTTTTCAATAAAGAATAGCAGAATTTCCGTATGTCCCGTTCAAATACATGGAGGAGATGCACGATGAGGCAGCACTTTGCTGTGCCTCTCGGTGGATCGTGTAATCCTCACAAACTGTATGCGATGCAAATAGTGTGTCGCTGTCCCTCTATATATCACAAATAAAATGCTTTCAAACACTCTGATTATATGCTCTGCCTTGCCATAATCTGGATAATGTATAAAATGTAGTTCTGTAACGTGTTTAGGCTCCAGATTAACCATAAAGCCCAGTAAAAAAGTTACTCGGTGAGGCAAACAGTACGCCTGCCTCAAGGCAGAGGGCGCTAGTGAGCCCACAGATTCTTGC